TCCCCAAGAGCTTCCAGATGCGCAGGAGGGCAGGGGCCTGCCTCACCCGGAAGGGGAGTTGCTGCCACTGGAAGACGGGCAGCGATGATGCAGTGGGGAGTAAGTGCCCCAGCGTGTCTCCTCTTGTCCCTGCCCCTGTCCTGGTCTAACAGGAGCCTGGGTGCTGTGGGTGTTCACTTTTGCCTCTTGGAGCACAGAGCACGGAGGAGAGTGGATCTCAAGGGCACGTGGAGATGGTCCAGAGCACAGGGGACTGGGAGAGAGGAAAGGAGACGTAACGGGCTTTTGGACAGAGGAAGTGGGGACGTAGCCGCGATGGAGAAGGCAGAGACGTACGTTATTTGAACGAATCGCTCCCGACACGCAGTCGTTAACATTATCTCTGTATGCCAATAAATGGAACGTTTCCCAGCTCAACAGTTTGAGAAATGCGTTAACAGAATTCATTTGAATTTGGCAAGATTGATCTTATTTTTTGTGATGGTGTTTATTTTCAAGTCTTCCAGCGAATGTGGTGGACGAGTCACTCAGGTAGAGGTGCCCTGTCTGCCTGGTGTTTGCCAAGCGTTGCTAGGTAATGTACGAACATACAAAGGATGAAATCCGGCCCCTTTTCTTTGGCATTTACCCGTGGACTAAGGGGCTCCAACACACAGATGTTGAAGTTAGTGCACTATCCAAGGTGCTGCCACGTCCATTGGCAGTGCCACAGTAGAACGAATTCCCGTTAGTCACACATTTTCTTCATCCTACAAGAGACAACTCCAGTGGCCTTTAAGGTAGAGAAAGAAGAGTGGTTTGGGGAGCAGGTTTTTGGCAGTGCAGGAGAAAAAAATGCTATTTCCATGTTCCGGTTCCACCTCTTTTCCCCCACCCCCTTTGATTTGTTTTAAAAATTTGACGGCTAGGGGCGCCTGGGTGGCGCAGTCGGTTAAGCGTCCGACTTCAGCCAGGTCACGATCTCACGGTCCGTGAGTTCGAGCCCCGCGTCGGGCCCTGGGCTGATGGCTCGGAGCCTGGAGCCTGTTTCCGATTCTGTGTCTCCCTCTCTGCCCATCCCCCATTCATGCTCTGTCTCTCTCTGTCCCAAAAATAAATAAACGTTGAAAAAAGAATTAAAAAAAAAAAAATTTGACGGCTAATCAAAGTGTTGTTTTTCTGGCTTAGAGTGGGTAGCAGGATTTCAAATTCACGTAATGTCTTTAACCGAAGGATTTTTTTTAAATGAATTCTGAACTACTCTCATTTTATCACGTTTTGAACTTACATTGTTGACAGGCTGATTATGTTAAGATAAGACAAGGTCTTTAGGGTGGGCCCTGATCCAGTATGACAGGTGTCCTTACAAAAGGGAAATTTGGACACCGAGAAAGAAGATGTGCACGAGGAAGCTGATGTGAAGAGACCAGGAGAAGGCCAATGACAGCGGAGGCGGATGGGAATTTTGGAACAGCAGGGCTGCTGAAAGCTGGAGAAGGCAAGGGAGGATCCTCACCCGCGGGTTTCAGAGGGAGCATGGGCCTGCTGACACTGTGGTCTTGGACCCATGGCCTCCAGAACTAGGAGAGGAGACGTTTCTGTTCTAAGCTGCCCAGTTTGTGGTGCTTTGTTATACACCCTCCAAATCTCAGTTCAAAGTAAATGGAGTCCATAGCAGCTAACTGTACATCCTTTTCTGAACCTATTGGAGAGTGATGCAAAGGGAGAAGTTAAGGGCTGTTTAAAAGCTTTCACTTTGGATTTGAGACTTTTAGCAATTTTGATCAAAAACAATACTTTCGTATTAATGTACATGGAACAACTGATAGTTTGCTTTGCTTATTATAAGCATACTTGGTGATAAAAACAGGGTAGGGGAAATCGATCTCTTTTGTGTGGTTTACATGTCTTTGCTCAGTGTTTTAGAAATGCTGCTTTTCAGTTATAGCTCTGTCTCCTGCCTGTAATAGTTCACTGTACCCTTCCCACCAATAACTTAAACATTAAGAGATACAGGCGTTCTCATGTTATTGGAACTATCAAAAAAGGATTGTAAGTTTCAAACCAGATCGACGTTGAAGTAGCCTGTGACGTAGATTGTGTTTATATATTGGTGGTCTGTCTTGGCCGCTCTTTTAATTAGTTAACAGTTAAATGGAGGAGGTTTCTCCCTCATTCTGAACACTAAAGGTGAGCAGTTGAAAGAATCTTAGGCTGGGTGATCCTATTCTGATATTGAGGCTGGTTAGGATAATGTCTTGATAACACATAGTGGATCATTTACTGTCCATATTCTTTCTGTCCCTGGATTTAAAAAAAATCATAAAAAGGTATATTCTCATTATGAGAACGAGACAATCAAAGTAGCTGTGCATTTTTCTCTATTCAAGGATTAGCAGAAGGAATGTGTAGAGAAGTCTAATTTATTTATGTGACAGATATTTATAAAATTCTGTGTGCTGTTCTAGGGATTTGGGATGTATCAGAAAACAAAACATGAAAATCCCTGCCCTTGTGGTGTTTGTTCTGGCAAACACCGCAGGTCCTGCTGGGGGCCAAACTGACAATGCAAGGCGGGGGTTTTGTTGGACTGTGGTGGCAGTGCTCCCATCCGGCCACAAGGCGGCGGCCTCGGACAGCAGAAAGGCACCCTCTGCCTCCGGGGGCTGGGGTGGGCTCATGGTGGGCGGGTGTGGCTTCCCTGATGCTGACTTTGAATTCTGTGGGGCACCTGTAGGAGAGTGGGACGTTTTGACCGTGTCCTGTGTTATGGTAGCCTATGATAAAGTTGTATACAGGTATATAGAGCGAGAGATTATGAAGTTGCTGTAACGAAAATCTTCTGGGTGGTCAGAATTAATTCCTCCATATTTTACACATGGTAAAGCATGTAAAGATGTAATTTTCTATCTTTTTCGCCATGTTTGAATGATACACCGCTTAATGACACAAGAAAATTTAAAAGTGAACTGCAAAGAAAAAATTGGCACCACTAATTATTTTAGTTCCTTTTTTGATCTTTCCTTCTTTCTACCAGATGCAATTTATGGTTCATTCATAATTGTGAATAATCCATGTTTTAATTTAACATTGTTACAAAGGGCAAATGTGTAGTTTTTTTAAAGCATAGTACTTGAGGGGTGCCTGGGTGGCTCAGTCGGTTAAGTGTTTGGCTTCGACTCAGGTCATGATCTAAGGGTTCGTGAGTTCAAGCCCCGCATTGGGCTCTGTGCTGACAGCTCTGAGTCCACAGCTTGCTTCAGATTCTGTGTCTCTCTGTCTGCACTCTCCCCCCCCCCCCCCACTCGTGCTCTGTCTGTCTCTCAAAAATAAACAAACATTAAAAAAAAACCAGTAAGGGGTGCCTGGGTGGCGCAGTCGGTTAAGCGTCCGACTTCAGCCAGGTCACGATCTCGCGGTCCGTGAGTTCGAGCCCCGCGTCAGGCTCTGGGCTGATGGCTCAGAGCCTGGAGCCTGTTTCCGATTCTGTGTCTCCCTCTCTCTCTCTGCCCCTCCCCCGTTCATGCTCTGTCTCTCTCTGTCCCAAAAATAAATAAACGTTGAAAAAAAAAAAAAACAAACAGTAAAGCATTTGACTGATCATTGATTTCTTCGGTGGCCACAATTGGTAGGGCAGAGTGTAGAATCGGGAAAATCCTGCTGTGGCATGGTGTGTTATCGAAGGGGAGAAAGAGAACTGATTTAAGGGAGAAGAAATAGTCCCCTATTCACGTAGTTTCTCAGAAACACATTTTCAGTGAGAAGTTCTGGCCAGTTTCATAATCTGTAACTGAATATTTAGCTTCAGGTGCTAATCTCCCTTCTAGGGTAATGGGCCCCTGGAAAATGCAGACTCCATTCATTTCTCCAGAGCTTTTGGGATGCCCCTGCTGTTGGTGGTCCCCTCTTTGTCAGACCCCTGGGCTATGAAGCCACAGCCCCCTCTGGTCTGCGCTTCACTGGGGGGAGTGCTGTAAGCCACCTCCCCTCTCAGGTAGGGGAAGGCACCGGTTTTCAGGCTGCTGCCCCCGCCACCCTCCATTTCTCCGCACCCCGTGCTCCTGTGGCTGGGCTCCCTCATTTGCTGGTGCTGATGGGTGTCGATTTCATTTCGTTAGTGACCAGAGACCAGGCCATGGTCCCGAAGCAGTCTTTCTCAGAGTCTCTTCCCAGATCAGCAGTATCAGCCTCACCTGGGAACTTGCTAGAAGTGTAGGTTTTCAGGCCCCACTCCGAATAGGAAACTCTGACGAGGGACACAGCAGGACACAGGCGGACTGTGTTCTTCCACCTCAAATCTTGGTTTACATTAGCATAAAAATGGATGATTTCTCAGTCCCTGAAGTCGAGGCACTTAACATTTTAAGCTCTAGACTTCTTTGCTTTGTGAATGTCATGATATCTTTTATTTAAAGTTGATAATGCTTTTGATTTCAGACTTACTAACATGAATGTCTTTGGGGAATTGTGTTGGCTGTTTGAATCGCCATCTAAGCGAATGTGGTTGAGAGGAAGAATGCCGTGGTGCCGCGCTGTCACCATGGCCTTTTTTGTGTGACCACGTTGCTCCCACCCTCCATTGACTGCCGCTGTTCCCCCTGAGTCAGTCTGCCAGTTGGTGAGACGCGCTTTGTGAGTCAGCCCCGGCTGGCACCGTCTACTCGCTGAGCTGCCTTCTGCTTTTTATGGAGCAGATACAAGTCTGTGCCACGAGACAGTCGGGCTTCTCAGCCCTGCCTTCAGTCCTTTAAATAACCCACTTTCTTAAAGCCTCGAGTACAAGTCTGGCAGTAAAATGAGGTCTTAAAAACACACGACCAGAAACAACAACAAAAGCAGTGCTTTCTGCTACGGGCTGCAAACTGACGAAAGCCGAAACGAGCAGGACTCTCGGAATATCGGTCAAGGACTGGTTGTGAGCAGGCCGTGCTGCTTTTCCTGAAAGAAGATCAGGCAAAGTGGATTCTTAGAAAAGAGTAGTGATTTGAGATACTGAGTATTGTTATGCCTCTTTCTTCTAGACCTGGAAAGGAAAGAACAAGCATTAGAGCAACTGAGAATGGACTGCGAGCACTTTAAAGCCCGCCTGGAGACCGTGCAGGCCGACAGCATGAGAGAGAAGAAGGTACGATGCTCACGGGCCACCGCCTAACACACTCGTGTCACGGCTGCGTCCACAAAGTGGTGTTGCCAACAGCTTGTGTAGACCTTCAGCCTCGAGAGATTGTGTCTTGAAACGCATATATTCCGAATGGGTTGGAACATAGTCAGACGTTGGCCTTTATGACCATTTAACGTGGAGAACGTTTACTGGGTGACTTGTGATAGTCACTTTCTGTTGATTTTTATGTTTAAAAGACCATTGCAAAGCTTTAAAAGTCAGAGTATAGTAAGAATCTTAAAAAGTGCACATCATAATTCATAATCAGAGATAAATGTATTACCTACAAATATTAATAATTAAGGGATCATTCACCGATATTTTATTATTTAAAATAAATTTTTCAATGTTTATTTTTGAGAGAGAGAGTGTGTGCGCAAGTGGGGGAGGGGCGGGGGGGGGGGACACAGAATCCGAAGAGGCTCCAGGCCCTGAGCTGTCAGCACAGAGCCCGACGTGGGGCTCGAACCCACAAACCGTGAGATCGTGACCTGAGCTGAAGTCGGATGCTCAACCGACTGAGCCACCCCGGCACCCCCATTTAGTGATATTTTAGAAATAACCAATGTATTTTAATATTTAAGAAGACTAATAGGATTTCTCAAAAATTACACGTTTTTACTTTATGGAACAAATACTTCCCCCTTTTTTCTGTAAAGCTAGAACTATCCTGTCACTTTGGATACAATGATAAAATTCGGAGTGTGCATGTTTTTTTTTTTGTTTTTTGTTTTCCCAGTAATAACACTGTAACAGTATTAGTAACAGCAGCTAGGTATTTGGTTCCCTGGGCCCCGGCGGGTGCTGCCCCTGGCTCAGCGGGACCAGCAGGCGCTGTTAGTGTGAAGGAATGTGCGGTAGCTGGTCACAGGCCCACTGCCTCCTCTGGTGAAGGGATTCCAAATGCTTGAGGCTGCCGTGGAGGCGTTCTAAAACTGGTGGGTCTGTAGAGACTTGAATATTGAGCAAATAGATAAAGGGAAAGAGTTTTAGTCTCAAAACTGAGTTGAGTGTCACATAATTGAAGTTGAAGTTTTAGTTTTGTCATGGTTTGGATCATGACCAACTAAGATGCCAGTGTGGCTAATTTGGGCCTGAAAATTTCATGGTCTGAAAGAAGTTGACCAACATACAAGAAGGAATTTGGTAAAAATCAGCAATGCACCTATTGGTTCAATACTTAACTTAAATTGCTAAACATCCTTATTAAATTGAAACTTAACTGGGCAGAATCTTCCTGTTTGTTTTTTTTTTAATTGTTAAGCATAGGGAAAAAGTGCATGTTTTGTGGGCATTTTAGATGCAGTGCATAAAAATAAGCCATTCTGGTAAAGCACCAGTCAGTATAGAATGGATGAAATGACCTTGGTAAAGTAGGGTCAGATCACCAGCGTGTTATTGCCCTGACACTTTGACCTTAGTTACAACATGGGAATATTTTAGATTAAACTATTTCCTATTTCCAGCTAAGTTTCCCGTTTAACTCTCCTGCCAACTTGATACAGATGGGAGTCCCTTCGTGTTGGCCACAACAAGGCCGCATCTCTTTTTGCTGTAGAGAAGTGAGAGCTGCCCCCATAGCCTCTTCTCTGGTCTCTGCCCAGGTGTCTACAGATCACGGGGCTGGATGCTGGAAGCTTATTTTAGAGTTGAGGAACCGGGAAAGAATTCAGGGACTGGATCCCACATTAGAGCACTGCTAGTAAGAACCACAGTACGGGTAGACATCATTAGGAAAAGACAGCGGTTACTGGATCCACATGTAAGCAAAGATGAGAAAACACAGCGTGGACTCCAAGTCATAAAGAAGCGTGATGGGGGAGCCACAGCTCCTGACCCCCCACCCCCCACCCCACCCCGGAGAATGGCTGCCGGACAGGGGAAGCTTGGTTGCCGGCCTCAGTTGAGCTGTTTCCTCAGCAGTAGTTGAGTCCGGTCAATGGGAGTCCAGCTGGGCCTTGATGTGCACTCGGGGGCTGGCCGGGAGAGTCCTCCTGGCAGTGGCAACCTTTGAACTCTGGAGAAGAAAGAGCCCAGCTTTCCTGGTGTGGGCGGAGCTGTTGGAGGACATCTGACTTGCTTTTCGTAGGACTGTGCTGTCCCTGTGAGGTTAGACGAGGCTCCCCACAAGGGGTCTGCCAGTTTTTACTGTCTGACCTGGCTGTCCCACGTGTGAACTTGGCCTACATGAGGTGCGAGTTCACCTGTGCTGAGGGGCATTTCGGTCGCTTGCCTGTGGTTTCATTTTCTCTGTGTGTCTTCTTGTGTGCACTCCTTTCACAGTTAACAGACTTGCATGTGACTGCCCGTTTTTTGTGATCTGTGTTTTTGATTTGTTAGCAGAGAGTTGCTACTTTTGTGATAGTAAATGGAAGCTGTTGCAAACATTGTATTATTTCAGGAAACTTTTTAAAGAAAAACTGATAGTATATTTCAGTTAAAATCAGAAATGAACTACAGAGGATTTTGAAGGAATCCTGAAAGCTTTATGCTCGGTACTCTGTTAGGTAGGAGTATTCACTTAAAACAGGTAACTATATCAGGGTTTGATTATTGTTCCTTTTTTAAAAGCAACTTTGTTGAGACGTGTTTTGCACAACATGGACTTGATCTGCTGTAAAAGTGAAACTGGAGCATTTTTAGTAACTGCATGCAGTCCCACAGCTTTCGCTACAATGCCGTTTGGTTTTGGTTAAAAGGTTTCAGAAAGAATTACAGAGTTGCAGGAAGGCGCAACAAGTCCAGGGGAGTCCCTGTACCCTCCACCCAGTTTGCCCCGGTGTAGCGTCTTGCATCACTCCGGCACGAGGTCAAAGGCGGGAAACTGACACTGGTACAACCCACACAGGTTATTTGGGCTCACTGGCTTTACCTGGGTTCGTTTGTATCTCCTCGTGCGTGTGTACGTGTGCACACACGCTCAGTTCTGTGCCGTTTCAACACATGTATACATTCACGTATCCGTCACCAGCACGTTGAAGATACCAAACAAAGATCTCTCCATGCTTCCCTGCTGCAGCCACACCCACCCTGTGCCCCGTACTTCGCTCCAGGCAACCACCTGCACATAGTTGTCACACATTAATCTCTATCATTTTAGGGCGCCTGGGTGGCTCAGTCGGTCTTCGGCTCAGGTCATGATCTCACGGTTTGTGAGTTTGAGCCCCGCGTCAGGCTGTGTGCCCACAGCTCAGAGCCTGAAGCCTGTTTCAGATTCTGTGTCTCCCTCTCTGTCTCTACACCTCCCCTGCTTATGTTCTGTCCCTCTCGCTTTCAAAAATAAATAAACATTAAAAAAAAATTTAATCTCTATCATTTTATTTCAAGAATGTCATGAAAATGGGATGTCATGAAAATGACTTTTTCCACTCAGATTCATCCAAATTGTTGCTTGGATCAATAGTCTGCTCCTTTTTATTGCTGTGTAGTATTCCATGGTATGGCTAGATCACACTTCGCTCAACTGTTCTCTCAGGGAAGGAGTTGGTGGGTTGTTTCCGGTTTCTCGCTATTAGGAGTAGAGGTGCTATAAACATCCGTGTGTAGGTTTTTGTGCGGTTGTACGTTTTCATTTCTCTGGGATAGATGGCTCAAGAGTGCAGTCACTGGGTTATGTGCCAATGCATGTTTACTTTTGTGAGAAATTGCCAAGTTGTGTTGCAGAGTGGTGGTTCCACTTTACATTCCCACCAGCCATGTGTGAGTGATTCATTTCTTCCACACCTTAATTGGCATTTAGTATTGTCACTGGTTTTATTGTAGCCATTCTGGTAGGTGAGTTGTGGCTCTGATTTGCATTTCTCTAGTGGCTGACAATGCTGAGATCTTCTAACACGCTTATTTGCCATTGTATATCCTCTTCTGTGAAATACCTGTTCACGTCTTTTTTAATATATAAATCTTTTTAATATTTATATATGTGTATGTATACATATATTTTACTGTTGAGTTTAAAGAGTCCTTGATATACCCTAGATAAAAGTCTGTTATTGGATGCGTGGTTTGCAGATAGATTCTCCCAGTGTGGAGCATGTTGTTTCATCATCTTCATGGGGGCTTTTATGGAGCTAAAGGGTTCAATCTGGGTGGCGTCCAGTTTGTTAGTTTTCCCTTCCATGATCAATGCACTTAGTGTTGTAAGAACTTTTCTTGTAGCCCTTGGTCCTAAGGACTTTTTTCCCCTAATGGTTTTATATTTTTATATTGCACAGTTACGTTCACAATACATTTTGGGTTAAGTTTTGTATAAGGTATGAACTTTGGTTGAGGTTCTTTTTTTTTTGGTCCAGCTGCTCCCATGCTTTGTGGGAGAGGTGATCTTTCCTTTTGTAGCTCTGCCAGCGATCGCTTAGCGTATTTGCCTGGTCTGTTCGGGCTTCTCTGCCCTGGCCCATCGATCTGTTCTTCCATCAGAGCTCACTGTCTGATTACTGTGGCTACATAGTGAGCCTCAGCATTGGATAAAGTGATTCTTCCCGTCGAATTTTTCTTTTCCAAAATTGTCTAGACAGGTCCTGTGCTTTTCCGAATACATTTTATCATAAGATCATCTGTGTCTGTAAAGATTTTTGCTGGGATTCAGATGAGAATTGTGTCATTTCTGTAGATCAGCTTGGGGAGAACTGTTGTCTCTGTTGCATCTCGCAGTCTGCAAACAAAGCATGTGTTTCCATTTACTTAGGTTGTCTTTAATTTCTTCCATCAGTGGTTTGTAACTTTCAGCACACAGATCCTACACGTTTTGTTAGATTTTTACCTAAGCGTTTCTCTTTTTTCCTTTCTTGATTCCAATGTTTTAATTTTTACCTAACTGTAAGCGAATAGCTGAATTAGTAGAACGTTCTAAAACTCCAGATTGGCTTTTCTTACACCAGAAAAGAGTGATCAATTTAACAGGCGAAGACGGGATTTCTGACAACCTCTCGCCCGGCATGCAGCTCATCTAGATGGCTGTCTCTTAACTG